GTTGGTTCCTGCTCTTCACAGGTCCAGTCCAGGTCCCCTTGTTGAGCAGTCCTGTCTCTTTCCTCCCAGGCTTCTTTCATTGTATTCTAATGTCAATGTGAGGGAGGGAATTCCTTGTGTTTACAACTCATGAATGAGCCTTGCTGTATTAGACATGTCATATGTGGAAAACTCTGGAGGGGAGGTGTGCAGGGTGAGGATGTTCAGTTCCTGTTGATTGATCTATATGACTACGTCAGAGGCCATGGAGAGACATTGTAAAAGATTGAACAGGGGTCAAACACATGCAAGGAATAAACCTGTGGTGCACAGATTTTCATTACATTGTCATTTATGGTTATATTGGTGCATGTCATAGTGTTCTCCGTAGTCACTGTTAAACACAGGAACATATTTTGAGTTATAAGGTGTGTGTGTGAATGCATGCCCATCTTCTTGAAAATCTACATTCCATTGTTCTCTGTGACAGGGTCCTCTACTGTTGTTCCCTTTCGGGGAGGGGGCCAAGTAAACTCAGAGTCAAACCACATAGACTCTGGGAGGATGTCCAGACAACAAGCTCAGTTTATTCAGGAAGAGGCAAGCCTTATATACCCTCCACCCAACCCTGGGGGGAGGTCTGATGAATATTCATCTGCTGGTGTGACATGGCTGCCTCTCATTGGTCCAGGTCATCTCCAGATCATGTTTCAGCTGCTGTTATTAAGACCATCAGGCAGACCCAGATAGACTCTCAGAAAGTATCTTTTTTACTTCTTTGGGCCGGCTGGCCCTCAAGCCGGTGAGGGATGAGTCATCCCACAGTTCTCTTCTTTGTGTTATCTCTATGAAATTAACTCAGATGTATGAGAGTGCATGTCCCAAAACTTTATTGGCTACGATCCACTTACTAGTCCTTCAAGGAGACTTAGAAGAAATAGGTGGACTATTAAAATCCACACATCCATCTAGAAATCTAATGTAAAATGCCAAGCTTGGGATAATTGTAGCTGGAGAGTTTCTCTCCAGCTCCCACCAAACCCCACCAGTCCCGGAGCCCGCTTATAAAATAAACACACCGACTCTTATATTATTTAAACTGCCTGGCCATTAGCTCAGGCCTACCATTGTCTAGCTCTTACTCTTATACTCAGCCCATTTTTGTTAATCTATATGTCGCCACGTTTTCCGTGGCTTTACCTGTTGCCTCTACATGATGCTCCCTGGATGGCAGCTGGTGTCTCCCCCCCTCTGCCTTTCTGTCCTTTCCTCTCTCCTCTCTGTTAGTCCTGCCTATACTTCCTGCCTGGCTACTGGCCAGTCAGTGTTTTATTTATCAAACAATCATCCACAGCAGATAATATTTTGAAATTTAAATTATAATTCTGTAATTCATGTTTCCAAAGGAGATACTACAACTGGTCTCCCATATTTTTCGTGGTTTATTCCACTTTCTGAATCATATAATTGCAAGACATGTTGGCTTAATTAATAGCAAATATTAATGAGTCATGCCACACATATGCAAGTATAGAGCCTGGATGGAGATCTAGGTGTTGGGACTTGATGATGTGTGTAATGTGTATTTTAAGCACTATGTCCTTTGATCAGGACATAGGCTGCTCTGAGTGGAAGGTCACTACTGTCAGGAACCTGATCAGGAATCCAGTCCTCTCCTTGCATCTGGCTTGGCCTTTCCACCAATCTTCAGTTTTTTCTGATTCTCTGAAAAGGTATCTCTGAGGGATACTAACAGGAGATACAGCAGTTCTTAATGTATCTGCTCTGTCCATTCTGTTGTTCTAGGCTTGACTCTAGGGTCAGTCTCTATTCAAGTGGACTACAGATTTCTGCCTCAAAATTATGGTGAGAATTGTAGCATGAATCTTAAAAAGTCTTATTAATAAAATAAATTCAGGGCCTGTATTGGGGTGAATGCTGGAAGATCAGAGATGCAGAACAAGCCACAGCTTCCTCACCTCGCCAGTTCCTCAGCTGATCCTGTTTCCTCAGACTGGGAGCTTCTGAGTCCTCATCCAAATGAATCTCAGCTGAACTGCTGCTAGAAGCCTGAAAGCTTAACCAGCCAAAAGCTTCTAGTTTCTGGTCCTCAAGACTTATATATCTTTCTGTTTTTGCCATCACTCCCTGGGATTAAAGGCTCACTTCTTGGGATTAAAGGCATGTGTCACTATGCCTGGCTGTTTCCAATGTGGCCTTGAACTTACAGAGATTCCAGAGGTAGAAATCCCTCTGGAATGCTAGAATTAAAGGCGTGTGTGCCACCATTTTCTAGCCTCTCTATCTAGTAGCTGTTCTGTCTCTGAACCCAGATAAATTTATTAGGGTGCACAATATTTTGGGGAACACAATACCACCACAGAGAATGTTAGCAATTTTTAACGAACGACACTTTGCCCACCTCAGACCAGACATTATTTGCATTTCTTCTCCATAGAAAGTGAATTTTGCCAGGCTCAAATTCCCTTCAAATGGTTGCCATTAGTTGTACTGGATAAAATTCCTACTAAATGCTCTCCTGTTTA